ATAGAAAAGGGCACAAAACATAAATATATAGTATACCAATAACTATAAACACTTCTGCAGTCATCGTACACTGTAAGAACCCCCAGAAGTCCCTCAGACATAATAATCCCTTCCCAAGCACAAACTCTTCTCCCTTCTAAGTGAGCGGTCTTTTTTGATACTCATTCCTTGCTTTCAGTTTTTGAACTTTATGGAAATAGAATTGTACAATGTGTGCTTGTTGACTCACTTTCTCACACAACATTGTGTTTGTGAATTCATCCACATTGCATGTAGCAGTATAGGGGACCTTTAAATTGCTCTAGAGTACTGGATTGTGTAAACATGCTTCACTGTATTTATGTATTCCGTTGTTGATAGATGTTTCCAACTTTGAAATCTCATGAACGTCACTTGAATATTCTTATGTGTTTCCTAATGCCCAAGGGTGTACATTTCTCTAGTATTCACCAAGGTATGGAATTGCTGGGTCATAGGACACTGTTTCCAAAGTGGTTGCAACAATCTATACTATTTCTGCAATGTTCAATTGTTCCAGTTGCTCGTGACCTTTAATACTCAGGATTTCAGTTAAAGTGATGTAGGGTTGTATTTCATCATGGTTTTAATTTGCAATTCTCTAATTATTAATGTGATTGATTGCCTTATATATTTATTGGTAACTTGAATACCTCTTGGGGAAAGGCTCATTTTCCTATTGGGATGTCTCTCTGTTGTTTTTTAAAAATGTATTTATTACTTATATGTGTAGCAAATACCTTTTCCTACACTGTGCCTCATATTTCATTCTATGGTGTCTTTTCACACAGAGATTTTAATATTACTGTTTCAGAATATATTGATATTTTTATCTGGTTGCTTTTTATATCTTGAATAAGATAACTCTCTTTACCATGAAAATATCTGATCTTGTAGACAATTTGGTTTTTTTCTTTTGAAACAGGTTCTCACTAAGCATCCTAGGTTGGCCTCCAACTTTCTATACTCTTGTCTCAGTCTCATGAGTGTTCAGACTTTAGGTGTGAGCCACCATACCCAGCCATCCTTCTAGAAGACTTTGTTTTGCCTTTCACACTGGGTCTTTCATCTGCCTGGAATTGATTTTTATGAATGGAAGAAGAAAGAGGTCCCATTTTTTTCTATCTCTATCTCCATCTCCACCTCTACCTCTATATCTTGGAATTTACTTATTTATCTTAGTCCCATTTATTGTAATCTTTTTCCCACTGATAAATCAAATTGTGCTATACATGGGAGTCAGGTTTTCTTCTGGACTCTCCATTATGTTGCATTGTCTGTTTGTCTGTTTCTTCAAGAGTACCTTGGCCTCATTTAGCCCTTCCCACTTGTACATAACTTTTAGGATCTGTTTGTTTAGTTTCACAAAAAGGTGGGATTTGATTGGTATAGTTATTTCATACATCAGTTTCGGGAGAATTGTTGTATTGTCATATTGTCATATTGGATATTCTAATTGGTAAGCTTAGTATCTCTCTCCTTTTAAAACTTTTTTTTTTTTTTTGCAGTACTGTGGGTTTAACTCAGGGCCTTCACCTTAAGCCACTCCACTGGCCCTATTTTTGTGAAGGGTTTTTCTGAGATAGGGTCTTGCTAACTATTTGCCTGTGCTGGCTTCGAACCAGGATCCTTCTGATATCTGCCTCCTGAGTAGCTAGGATTACAGGTGTAAGCCGCTGGCGCCCAGCCATTTTCTTTAATATCGGTAATGTTTTATTATGTTCTTTGGAGAAGTTTCACTTACCTCTTATTAGATTTATTCCTAACGCAATAGTTTATACCATTGCAAATTGTATCTTCAAAATATTTATTTTCTGTTTGTTGCTGGGAAATAGAACTAGCTTATATTTATAAATTGATTTTTGTCTTTGGAAAACTCATCAAACCCTTCTTTTAGTCCTAATGGTTTATTTGTAGGCCCTATTGGAATTTGTTTTTTCTTTTTTTTTCTTCTTGGCAGCACTGGGGTTTGAACTCAGAGCTTCATGCTTGCTAGGTAGGTGCTCTTATCACTTAAGCCAGTCCACCAGGTCCTGGAGTTTCTATTATTGGAGTTTCATATTATCTTCTAATAATGACAGTTTTGTTTATTATTCTGAAGTCCTTTTACTTTTTATTTCTTTTTCTTATTTATTGATATGGCTTAGCACTTAGTACCTTGAGTAAAGCATTAACTCTAAGGGTGATTGAATTTTGGTTCATATTTTGAAGACAGAGCCAATGGGATTTGCTGACATTGTATTTATGCTATGGGAGAAAGACTGGAATCAAGGTTGAGTTCAAAATTTTGGACTTGAGAAGGGGTGAGGATAGGTAAGACACCTAAAAACCTAGCTAGCATTTGTTGCCCTTAACGCAGAGAAACTAAAGCAGATACCTTAAAGCAACTGAGGCCAATAGGAAAAGGGGAACAGGTACTAGAGAAAAGGTTAGATCAAAAAGAATTAACCTAGAAGGTAACACCCACGCACAGGAAATCAATGTGAGTCAATGCCCTGTATAGCTATCCTTATCTCAACCAGCAAAAACCCTTGTTCCTTCCTATTATGGCTTATATTCTCTCTACAACAAAATTAGAAATAAGGGCAAAATAGTTTCTGCTGGGTATTGGTGGGGGGAGAGGGAGGGGGCGGAGTGGGTGGTAAGGGAGGGGGTGGGGGCAGGGGGGGAGAAATGAACCAAGCCTTGTATGCACATATGAATAATAAAAGAAAAATTGAAAAAAAAATTTTGGACTTGAGCAACTGAAAGAATGCTATTGCCATTGGGTGCAGGCCGGGCCAGAAGAAAGACCAACATGTTGACCAATATTTTCTGCAATCATCTCTCCCACAATCTTTATCCTAGTTGTCCACTTTTGAAATAACTCACTCCCGTAAGGATGCAAAAATTTACAAATGCCTCAATAAGATTTGACCTATGGCTTCCTGTTCAGCCAAGGCCCTCAATGGAGGGGGAGGAGGGGCTTCTCTGGATATAAACTGTGCATTTGGGTTAAAATCAACCCGTACATTCTGGGAGGTTGATACCAGTAGGAGGGGAAGGATACAAGGAGGAGAGGGTATAAGAGGATGAATATGGTGGGAATATTACGCATTCATATATGTAAATGAAAAAATGAAACCTGTTGAAGCTATTACAGGAATAGGAGGAGGAGGGGATAAAGGAGAATGATTGAGGGGGTGAATTCAACTATGATATATTGTAAGAACTTTTGTAAATGTCACAATGTACCCCCAGAACTGAAATACTAAAAAAATAAAAAATAAAATCAACCCAAAAACTATGGGACAATTTTTCCTCCAGGCTCAACCTTTTCAGTTTCTACTACTACTACAATGACTAGTACATATGCACACCCCTACATTGTTTTGAATCTTTCAGATAAATATTAAGAGAACCTTCCAGGAAACTTGGTCCCTGCATTTAATTACAAATGACTTCTCTGGAGTGATGCCACAAAAAAGACAGCTGCATCTCTTTTGAGCTAATCTGAGAACAATAAAGAAACAATGATCTGGGTATAGTAGCTCACACCTGTAATCATCACTACTTGGGAGGCCGAGCTGGGGAAGATCTCAGTTCAAGGCCAGAAGAGGCAAAAAAACAGAAAAATCTGGTCATGATGGTGTGTTCCTGTCATCCCAGCTACAGTGGGAAGTATAAAATAGGAAGATCATAATCCTGGTCAGCCTGGGCAAAAAGCAAGACCTATCTCAAAAATGGCCAGAGCGAAAAGGGCTGGAGATGTGGCTCAAATGGTAGACCACCTGCCTAGCAAGTCAGAAGCTCTGAGTTCAAACCCTAGTACCTTCCCCCACCAAAAAAGAAGAGTGACTCCTGCAGAAGAGATCCTGGGTCACACAGAAAGACTTTACTGTCCTTGGCTGGAATGCTCACTTGTCCATTCCTTTTCACCTGACTGTAAAGCCAGGTGCGCAAAAGAAATAAAACTCTAAAAACATCCAAAGAGTCATTGAAGTCCCACTAACTTGCCCACCCTGTCCCTTGATGTTTCTTCAACATACATGTAGGGTATCTCATTTTAGTGGGTGTTAACTGCCTGTCCCCTCTCCAGCGCCCTTTGAAGTTATAAAAGACCCTTTAAACACAGACCACCTGGGTGGGGACCACCACTGCTTTCTCTATGATACCGTTCCCTCACTTTTAATAAATGTTACTACATTTCCCTGTCGTGCTTGTATTGTTTCCACCGGGGACATAAAAACCTAGGCGTCTTCTGACCAAATTGTCATTACATGGAGGTAATTATCAGAAAAAATAGCTGATGGGGAAACTCTGCTTCTAGTGATTGGAACTGTAAGTGGGGAGGGAAATTCTGTTGTTTAAATACAACTTGTACCTCCCTACTATTTTTATGTGCAATTAATTTTGATGATTTCCTACTTTCCCTGTTTATGGCATACACATTCCCAACATCCTAACATAGCTATTCATTTTTGCGTATGGTCTTCCCTCCTTTACGCGTGTTCATATTAATATGGTGGCTTGCAATTCTATGTATTTTATAAATCGACTTTCCTTTTCACGTAATATACGGCTGTAGAGACAGCTTTCCGTGTTTTCAGTCTTCATAATTATCGTACCAATGGCTGCGTGATATTCTAACGCTAGCGCATCATAACTCAGCTACATACACCAGAGTGGGAAATGTAAAGATGGTTCCTCTTTCCCGTTGGAAATAATGCTGCGATGGAGACTGGCGGGCGCGCGGTCTCGCTTGCTTCTGCTGAACCTCCTCCCGGAGTCGGATTTGGGAATCCTCGGGTCCCATTCCGGACGGCAAGCGAGACAGGGCAGCCCACGTGACCGCGAGCGGGAACGCGCTTGGCGGCGGGGAGTCGGGGGCGAGGCTGGGGGGCGGGGCCAGCAGGTCCCCGCCCCTGCGTGCGTCACCGACGTCCTCCCGGATAAGGCCGGCGCACGGCGCGCCAGTGGCCGTGTCTCGGCGAGCTGGTGGGTTCCGCGGGCTGGCGGAAGCAGTGCGCGGGCCATGGCTACTTGGGCGGGGGCCGAGCTGTCTGCGCTGAGCCCGCTGCGCGTGCTGTGGCTGGCACTGGCCGCCACCTTCCTGCTGAGCTTGCTGCTGCAGCTCGTGCCGCCCGGCCTGCTCCCGCGCTGCGCGCTCTTTCAGGACCTGATTCGCCATGGGAAAACCAAGCTGTGGGGGCCGCAGCGCCCGGCCGCCTACCGGGTCTTTGATGTCCCCAAGAGGTAACCGCGGTCGCCCCGGCAGGGGGCAGCAGAAGCGGGTTCGCGGCGCGGTCGGCCCCGCCTCGCCTCCGAGCTGGCCGCGTGCGCTGCAGAGCCCGGGGGCGCGGTGCCCTGGCCTCGGCGCACATTGTCGCTTGTCGCGAGCTCTGGAACGGGGATTTGCGGCCGCTTGAAGTTTTTCTCGGGGGAAATGTAAGCACACCGAAGTAGCCTGGTCTCCAGGAGGTATACCAATCTCCTTTGTCCCCACTCTCCCCGTGCCCAGCACTGCATGGGCTCACAGTCTCACTTGAGGTCGCCAGAATCCATGGAAGTGAAAGGTCCACCTCGTTTTCCCCATTCGCCTTCCCGACCCCTCGCCCTCAGGACAAAGGACGAGACGGTGGCTATCATGTGGATGCCTTCTCCTTGAGGCACGCAGACGTTACTATACCGCACCTCGGCAGGTACCCCTCAGAAGGTGGCCCAGATGCCACATTGCAAGCAGCCCTCATTCCCAAGCTCCGAATGAAAGATTAAATCGTTAGGGTTGAACTAGAACTCATCCAAAAAGTGCGGGGCCTGTGAAGGTCTTAGTTTTTCCCCCTTTGACCTCAGTACATAATGGACGAGTCAGCTGCCACCATTCTAGACCGCACACACAGCGCGGTGTCTTTTCTGTCCTTGAGATGCATCTTACGTTGGCATTTAGAAATGAGTCTGGAGGATGAAAGGGTTACATGCATTAAATATCTGAGTCATAAAGCTGGCACCGGTAGCTGACGCCTGTAATCCTAGTTACTTCGGAGGCTGAGATGGGGAGGGGTGGAAATGGCGGGGCGAGTTTGCGAGACACCATCTTGGAAAGAACCAGAGCAAAATAGACTGGAGGTGTGGCTCTAGCGGTAGAATGCCTGCTTTACAAGTGCAAAGCCCAAAGTTAAAACCCAATCCTACCAAAAAAATCACGGGCGCGCGTGGCTCAGTCCTGTAATCCTAGCTACTCAGGAGGTAGAGATCAGGAGTATCTCAGTTCAAAGCCAGCCTGGCAAATAGTTCAGGAGACCCTACCTGGGGGAAAAAAAAAAATCACAAAAAAGGGCTGGTGGAGTAGCTCAAGGTGTAGGCCCTGAGTTCAAGCCCCAGTAATGCAAACAAACAAAATCTGGATTATTTTAAACACATAGGCAGTGGCCAGGTCCCTAGGTGACCAAGAGAAATGTGAATGAGCTAGACTGGAAGAAAGATCTAACACCGGCTAACACTGAGAAGGGACAAGTCATTCTGAGAAGTGGTAAGGTGAGCCGCCCTTGGAAGAAGTATGCAAGACTTTAGCCAAACTTTCTACCTCTAAGGCTCTTTCAAAATCATGAGCGAAAATTGCCTGTCATTCTATTTTAATCAGGTTTGGTTGCAGGACATCTTTCTCTGTTTTATAGCAGTTTATTTCCTGACTTCTGAAAAAAGGTAAATGTCTCTGGATTTAAAAACACACTTGAAATCATTCCGTGCACTTACCTACTTTGTTGGCTCCTGTACCCAGGTGTTATAAAGTCTTATGTGACAGCCAAGAAAGACTTGGAGCCTTTCCCTTATTCATTGCTGTAACAATTGGTACTCTTTGGGCTTCTTATAATTTCACCTGTATTGTGAAGTAACTTAAGCCTTTTTCTTCTCCCAGAATTCTGGAGTTTTGAATATCCTGTGGTCAAGTGCCATGGATAGTTGTTGTTTTCCCTAAATTTAAACATTTCTTTAGTGCTGCAGAAGGTATAATATATACAGGCCAATAATGAAAGACATTTTTATTGAGACAACAAAAAATAGCACTTGCATGAAAACTGACAGGGTCACACACACATATGTATATAAATAAATACATATACATATACACACGTATATATGTTTTTAAATTGCTCCTGTTTTTATGAAAAAGGGAAGATAATTGGAGTTGGGCAGAACTGAGAGTCTATAGCTTCCTTTATTCTTCTCTGCATTTTCCAAAGTGGGTTCATTCAGTGTGTTTATTACTTATAATCCAAAAAAAGGGTTAGTGGCCAAGGAGCACTGGAGAGATTTTATAACCAGAATCCTAGGCTAGGAGCCCAATCCAGGGGTCCCTGGTGTTGAGCCTGGCTGCTCACCCTGACACCAAATAAAGAAATGAATAGTGGCAAAGGGCAGAGAAGGATTTATTATGAGGCATGAGCGCGCATGGGAAGAGGCAAAGTAAACATATCAGTCCTTCTTTGGGGTACAGACATGAGTTTAAGGCTTAATGGGAGCAGGAGAGCAAGGTACATGTAATTATTAAAGGGTCTCTGGCAAAGTGGGGCCTGGCTGATCACTGTCACTGAGTAGATCTTGTTATCACTTGAGAGGAGCAATACAGTTGTGATAGGAAAGGTATTGTTGTCTGCTGGGGGGTGGGGGTTGGGATGTCTTACGCTCTGCTGTTCCCTTTCCTTGGGGGCAGTTTCCATCCTTCCTTGAAAAGATGTTGTCCATCTGTCCTGTCCTTCCTGGAACCCAAGTGGATTACAGGAGTGAGAGACTCAGGGTAAAGAAGACAGATGCCAAATGGAGGCAGAAATGTCAAGCTTTTCTCCTGCTTTCAGTTGACATGTGGGCCCAAGTAAGGAGTCAGTGCTTTTTAGCAAAAGCACTTTCTAAGTACCTGTTACAGTACTCAGAAACTGACTGCCTGCACGTACATCCTGACTACTTCATGCAGAGTATGCCTTTTTTCACTTACTCCCTTGCCCTGTGGTACAGTGCAATAGATAGCCACTGCTGTTACTTGTACGCTGCCTGTGGGAAATAAAATCCCAAACTCTTTACCTCTGGTCTGCCTAATGGGGAAGATGTTGCACTGTGTGAAGTCAAGTTCTTTAAGAAATCAAATGAAAACTGACTTATTCCCTTGTGGTGGCACTTAGTAATAGCTTAGTTAATTCAAATTTGAAACTATTGGGTAATCTTAACTTATATTGAAATGTTTTTCCTTGTGCAGAATTTAATAGCAGTGTTAAAGATGAATGAGCCTATAATTTCTATACTTGCAAACAGGTAGTTCTAAATCACATGTCTGCACATAAGGCAGTGCCTAGGTAATTTTGTTGGTAATTTTCTTTTCCTGAGGAAGCAAGAATGAACCTTAAATCACTTCCTGGAATGTTTGTTTTCATTACCCCTGTCTGGTAATATTTTTTTCAAATTAAGGTAACATTTGCTTTTCTTGTTTTCCTTTGACTCCTAGAGTTTCGATTTCCTAGGAAGTATGAGTAAAAGAGTGAAACAGTGCCGTGGCCTTCCATGGTGTATGGAGACACTTCTGTTTCTTAAAGTTCAAAATGGCTCTAAACAGTGGGGAAGCACTGTAATTAAATATTGGGCTCTGGAGGCAAAGAGCAGCCCTGGCTTTCTCCAATAGAGTCTAGAGGGTCGGAAGCAGATTTAGGGGGTCTGAACCGAATGTAGGGCAAACTAGAATTAGAAGCAAGTCACGTCTTTATTTTCAGTAACCTCTAGCCAAAAGGTAGCATTTCCTGAATTACAAACATAATCAGCAGACCACGGTAGAATTGGCAGTTATCTGCTAACAACTTGGTGATAGTTTTGTATATATTATATTAAAAACTCTGAAGATACCTCAAGACATGACTGTTTTCATCAAGCATGAGAACATTGTGGTTATTCACCACAAGTTTTTGTTATTTGGTGAGAATACCCATAACTACTATATCACACATTTGATTTTTAATAGTTGCATTACCCGTGTGTCTTATAATTGTTTTCCTTTGTCATCTCTATGTATTTTATGCTTATAGTGACATTTTGAAAAGTGCTTATAGCCTTTGTCAGACAGCATTTACATTTGTCCTTTGTTTCCGTATCCTAAGCTCAGTGCCTGATGGAATCAGGCTCTCTCCGTCAGAATGAATGACAAGGAAGAGATTGGAGGTTCACTTCGTTTGTTGATTTACTTGAGTCCTTACTATGAATGTCACTTTGGGTGAGCTACCTACCTGTCTTTCATTCATTGAGTTAACCAATGTTTACTGAGTGCCTACCGAATGCTCAGAGCTATTTTAGGCTCCTTAAAACTTACAGGAAGACAGAAAACATTATAAACAAAACTTGTAAAAAAACCTCGATAATTTCAGATAAGTGCTTTAGAGGAGATCCAGCAGGATTATTTGATCTTGAGCAAGACCGATGGGATGGGAGTGACAACACACAAAGGAAGGGAGGGGTAGGAGAAGACCACTCGTCAGGGCCTGCAGGCTGTGATAGAGTTTGGACCTTATTCTAAATGGGTGGAAAGCTCCTGAGGGCTTTGTGGTAGAGGGAAGCATTGCATCCTGTGTTTCGAAAGGACAGTGGCCCTTGTGCGGAGTAGGCAAGAGATGGTGATGTTGGGCGAATGAGAGCAGGAGCATAATGGAACCTGCTGGTCTGTCTCATTGGTGGGGATGCCATCAAAGCACCTAGCCCAGAGGTGCTAGGCACCTGGGCAGAACTCAGTAAACCTCAGTTCCCTTCCTGCTCTAACTGGGGCCTGGGGTCACTTCCAGCCCTCAGCAAATATGTATGTTAAATCAGATCGTGTCTCATGAGCTCAAAACCACACAGTAGTTTCAACAGTCCCTGGCCCTATGTAGTCTCATCTCCCCTACCTCATGGGCTGATTGTTTGCTTATGCTGACTGTTCCAGTCTGTGGGCCTCTGCTGGTGCTTTGCCCCACCTCAGGGCCTTTGCACTGCCAGTAAAGGATTCCCACCTACTTGGCCACATGGCTTATACCTTCATTTCCTATGTTTCTGCTCATTAACCTCCTCAGTGAGATCCTCTTTATTCATCTTGTTTAAAATTACCATTCCACCCATACTGGCATTTCTTCTTCCTCTTCCCTGCTTCAGTTTTCTCAGTAGTAATTATCCTTACCACCATGCTATAAGGTGTATGTGTGCATGCATGCACACGTGTGTGTGTGCGCGCGCGCGTGCGTGTGTGTGTGTGTGTGTGTGTGTGTGTGTGTGAGAGAGAGAGAGAGAGTGTGTGTGACACACATTACTGGAGAGCAGGGGCGGTTTGTCTGTAGTGCTTCCTGCTATATCCCCTGGGCCCTAGAATGGTCCTGGCTTGTAGAAACCGCACAGGTGGTTGTGTCCACTCAGCCCACACAGTTATAAGGGTTACCATGTCCTTCCTCCCTGGGGCTTAGAAGATAGCACTCTAAGGAAGATAGGTGCTGAAGGAGGGAAAAGGAGCATGTCTCAAACAGAAGGCAGTAAGGTTTTTACATCTGCATTTTGTGGCTTGAGCTGGGTCTTCTAAAACAAAAAAGATAAGACTTGCTGTAAAGAGTGGGAAATGGGAAATTCAGAAAGCAAAACAACATACGGAATAAAAAACAAACCCAAAACTCTGTGTGCTTTCAAGTCAAAAACATTATGGCCCAAGTAGGGCACAGCAAGGTGTGGCCTAGCAACTCATTCACAACACTCCAGTGATTTGCTTGGCTTCAGGCTTGATTTAGATTGGTTGTGTGTAATGGAGGGTCAGAAAAACAGGTTCAGGCAAACTTGGGCTGCATGAGTAAGAGAGCAACAGTATGGTTTGAACTGTAATCATCCAGGCTGAGTCTGAAGCCAAATGCTGCCACATCACTGTGTGACCTAGGATAAGTTACTTAACCTCTCTGAGCCTTAGTTTTCTCATCTGCCTTGTGAAGATAACAAATTTTATAGAATGGTTGTGAAGATGAAATTTAGTAGTCTTAACTCCTCTCCCAGGCTCCTCTCTACATCCCTTATGCCACAACTAGATTATTCTGTCCGAGTCAACAGGTGGACTTCTTAAAACTTAAGAATGAAATGAATGAGCAAAGTTTTTAAAAATTTTATTTTTTATTCTGTTAAGATATACATGACATAAAATTTACCATGTTACCTGGGCATGGTATATACCTGTGACCCCAGCACTGAGGAGGCTTAGGCAGGAGGATCACAAGTTCAAGGCCAGCCTCCACTACCTAGTAAGTTTGAGGCCAGCCTAGACTACACAGTGAGACCCTATCTCAAAAAAAAAAAAAATATTACCACTTGACTCACTGAGAGTACCATTCCGGGCATTGTTACTCCACCATCATCACTGTCCAGCTCCAGACATTTTCCATCAGCAACAAGGGTTTTTAAAACATCAGTGATGACCTCACATCATCCCTCTGTTGAAATGCCAGCTTCCTTAAAGGTCCTGTCCATCATCACTGTCCAGCTCCAGACCTTTTCCATCAGCAACAAGGGTTTTTAAAACTCAGTGATGACCTCACATCATCCCTCTGTTGAAATGCCAGCTTCCTTAAAGGTCCTGTGCCCTCTGCCTCTCTATTCTTGGTCATGCCACACAGCCACATGGGGTCCTTTATTGCTCTTGGACACACCCAGCATGCACCCACCTCAGTGCCTGTGCACTTATTTCCTCTGCCTAGAAAGCTCTTCCCCCAGCAAGTCCACAAGAATTCCTTATTCCAGCCATACATCACTTCCAGAAAGGCCATCCTTGACCACCCATCCAGAAGAGCATTCCCCTCTTGAATAGCATTCTCCTCTCCCTGCACCCTCTACTTGCCCAACATTATGCTAGATTTCTGCAAGTTTAGCTATTGACTGTGACTCCTGTGAATGTAACTTCCATTAAGGGAGGACTATGATTTATTTGCTCCCTGCCAAGTCCCTGGCTCCTAGAACATGGCCCAGCATGTTCTAAGTGCTCTCCAAATACTTGTGAAAAAGCGAAGCAGGTAAACTGCACCCCCCCACACACACAAAACACACACTCCTTACCTACTCCAACCCACTTTCCATGGGAGTCTGCAGAGCAGGGAGGTTCTAGACTTTCATCTCTGTCCTGTGTGCTCAGCCCACACCTGAGCTCATTTCTGAGAAGTATGTCTTAAGGATGGCCCGTGGTTAGGGGTGGCAATTGTCTCTGGTGCATGAACTTTTGAGAAAACTAGGCTCTTCAGGATGGCTCTCTTCCACAGTGTCAGAGCTGGGTGTATGGCCACAGAGGGCAGGGCCAGGGATAGGATTTGCTAATATTTAGTAGGTGGGAGATCCAAGTGGATTGCTGTGAAATGATGGAATTAGATCAGAGTTTGTCATTTTGGGTTTGTGGGCATGGTCTGGGGGACTGTGAGTTCTCTTACAAGCATATTCTGGCTTGTCTGGAGGAGCCCCCAAGCTTCTGGTTAATCCTCTTTTGGCTCAGCTCATCTTCAGTGACAAACCAAAGAGAAAAGGAAAGGGCTTAATATTGGTGCGTGGAAGACCAGGAAAGGCCAGGTGATCTCTGGGCATCCAGTGAAGTCAGAATGGTTTTGAATCGACCTGAAAGAGGAAAAATACAACTCAAGCATCCCTAACCCCAAAATATAAAACCCAAAATGATCCAAGATCCAGGATGCTTTGCACACTGATGTGATGCCCCATGTGGAAAAATTCCACACTTTACCTCATGATGGGTCTTAGTCAAAACTCAAGTGTACTAAAGTGTTGCATAAAATTATCCTCAGTGTGTGTGTGTGTGTGTGTGTGTATGAAATATAAATTAATTCTGTAGTTATACAAATATTACAAAATCCAAAAACATTACTCCCAAGCATTGTAGGAAAAGCATAGGAGAGTAGGCCTCAAAGAACAGTGAGGTCCTCATGCGATAACTAGGCTATTTCATTTCAGCAAGTCAACATCATCTTTCTCGTTAAATTAACATTACTAAGTTCATTTCATTGGTTTTGTGGTTTTATTTATATTTAGTTTGAAAACTTGTTCATTGCAAAATAGTCCCAGAAGTTGCCTGAGAACTATCACCTTAAGGTGTTCGGACCTAGTTTTATTATTGAAATATTTGTTATGTTCTAATATAAGTAGTTTAAGTCAGCACAATTCAGAAAAACACAGGATCATAAGACCTTTAAGGTTTCTTCCAGTCCTGAGTCTATGATTGTGCAAATCTTGGGAAGCAGTTGTGTGGCTATGCCTGTAGTATGACTTTCACAGATTTAGACAGTGTCAGCATGGTCTAGATCATCTTTGCAAGTCCTAATGGCCCCCTTGTTTGGAACTTGGGCCTACTTTTGTTACCCAGAGAGAAGAAGGATTGCTAACTGACCCTCAGTCTTTGTTAACCAGTGAATTGTGTTCTCGTTAACTATATTAGACAGCCTCTTTTTTCCAACAACTTAACCAATCTCATGATTTGAAAGGAAATCTTAAAAATATGAACACCTGTAGAATTCAGGTTTTACGAAAAAGCAAAACTCTACTTTGGGATGGGAGGGAGGTGGTAGAACTAAAAGGAATCTTCCTGCCTACAGGCTTAAGATGGTTCCACCCTGATGGTTGCCTAACTCCTTTTCTTTTTGCAGGTATTTTTCTCACTTCTATATCGTCTCAGTGCTGTGGAATGGCTTCCTGCTTTGGTTCCTTACACAATCTCTGTTCCTGGGAGTACCTTTTCCAGATTGGCTTCATGCTTTGCTCAGAATTCTTGGGGAGGCACAGTTCCGAGGTAACCTGGCTCCCTGCTCCTTTCTGTTCCCTGTCCCCCCATCTGTAGAGTAGCCTTATGTGCATTTCTTCCACAGGGCCTGGGAAGTAGAGGGCGAGGGCAAAAAAAGGGGTTGCATGATTTATCACTAGGGATGTCCCCAAGTCCTCACTGAGATAGACCATGGCAGAGTCCAGAGTTAGCGTCAATTCCTGGTATCTCAGAGTCCTGTGTTGTGTACAGGACTGGCTGTTCTTCCTCTGATATTTTTAGTACTGTTGATAATTTTATGAAGAAGTCTACATATGAGGGCAAAGCCCTTAGGATCCCTCAGGTTTGCCTTGAAACTTTTATCACTTAACAATGCCAGCCAAAATCATGTCTTAGGACTCATAGAAATTTGATAAAAAATTTTTGGCAAATGTGTAAGAAGGTTTGTTATGCTGTGAGGCTTTGGTCTTATAATAAAATAGCCTGTAAATACTTGTTTACCAGATTACAAAATAACCCTTAAATTTGTCACACACAGCAGTAGATAAGGGATATTAGAACAATTTTTAAAATAAGGAATTGGAACTTGGGAAGGTGACAGGTGCCTGTAGTCTTAGCTACTTGGGAGGCTGCAGCAGGAGGATTACTTGAGCCCAGGAGTTGGAGACTAGTCTGAGCAATATAGTAAGCCCTATCTCATAAAAGGAAAATAAAGAATTGAAAGTAAATGCCTTAGCTGAAGTCAGGCAGAGGGTGAGGGGCAGAATTAGAAACAAATTGTTCTCTGTCCTTTGTTCCAGCAGTCACACCACTGGCTCCCCAGGAACAATCCTTTTCTGTCCTATTGCACAGGACTACACTTAGAAAAGGCAAGCACATCCTGTTTGCCAGGGGGCAGACCTCAGCAAATCCCACCTCACTCTTTAAACCTTCAGAGCTCATTTGTTTCCTGTATCATTAAAACTTCATCACTCATTTGTTTACTGTGGGACCAGCTGATGTTTTTGGTACTCAGAGGTTTGATTTTGAGGAGTTTTATGTAGTTGTTTTAACTTGTTCTTACAGAGTTAAAAACTAGGCTTTAATTCACTTGAAATACAAAAAGAGAAAAGCTAATCTATGCTGATAGAAGCCAGGATTAGGGTCCTTTCCTTTGGTTTTGGGGAGGGGGGAGAGAGTGCCTGAAAGGAAGCACGAGGGGATGCAGATCAGTTTCTATTTCTAGTTACATGGGTAAAATGAGTTGGTTTAGTTTGTGAAAATTCATCAGGGGTGTGTGTGTGTGTCTGTGTGTTTCTCATTTAGAAAAATAAAAACTAGGTTTTATGTTATTTTAAAAATCGGCTTTCCTTTGGACCTTTTTAGATGGAGGGATGGGAGGTAGGCAGGAAGTTTTCTCAGGGTTTATTGTCCCCTTAAAAGTACAATTTCTTTTAATTTCAAATGGGTCAAACCTTATGCATGCTGGTCAAGGACTGTACCTCTCAGCTACACCCCTGCCTTTTTTTTTTTTTTTTTTTAACATGGAAAGAAATGCATAACTCTGTTTCTATTCCTGCTTCTGTGGTGCCTCTGTGACCCCAGGAATCCTACCAGATAGGACTGTACAGAGACCATCTGGGAACTCTTCCTGACCATTGGTGCCAGGAACCAGACACCCACAGACCCTGGGTTCTGAGCACCACAGACTCTTCACAGTGATACCCATATAGCCTGGAAGGCTCGCATATGATGAGGCACAGTTAGGAGATGGGGTTGCCCCGCATTGTCACTAATTTACCATGTGCTCTGGAGCCAAACTCCTTGATTTCATTCAGCCTGTGTCCTCATTGCTAAAAAGAGGAAGGTGTTAGACTGGGTGGTTTCTAAAGCCATTTTCTATCTCTAATCTTATTTAATATTGTGTTTAACAGTAAGGAAAAATAAACATTTGGTTTAATCCCAGAAGAGAGATCTGAACATTTGGCCTTCTGAATTGCAGGGGGTGAGCTGGCACTCTCGGCGTTCTTGGTGCTGGTGTTCGTGTGGCTACACAGCTTGAGGAGACTCTTCGAGTGCTTCTACGTCAGTGTCTTCTCCAGTGCTGTGATCCACATCGCTCACTACTGCTTTGGAATTGTCTACTATGTGATTGTCGGACTAACTGTGCTGAGCCAAGTGCCAATGGATGGCAGGAATGGTGAGTGGCCCCAGATGCTCTCTGGTCACAGACTGTGTGAGGTGCTCTTCAGGTGTATGCTTCATGAAGTTCTTTGATGTGCTCAGAGGTGGGAGATGCCCAGCCACTTTGCATTCTGGAAGTATAGACTCTCATAGTATATTTTACAAGTCAGCATGTCCAAGGGTGTGTGAATTTTCCATAACTGCTAAAACCTAAAGCCACGAATGTAAGCAGGTATGCCTTCAGAGAAGATAGTAAAGTGCCAAATGTTCATGAGGTTCAGTTTAAGAATGGAGAAAAGGGGTGTGAGTTTCCAGAAGAGGCTAAAGTTCGTGAACTTGAAGCCAGGCAGGATTAGCCTATGGACAGGGGAGCACCCAAGAAGAGGGGAAAAGGCAGCAAAGGAAGTGATCTCACCAAGCCCCAGTCATCCTGGGGTACATGTGGAAGGGGAAGGGAATTTGTGGTGCAGGGTTAAACCATTGAAAATGGGAGATCATTCTCATTGTCTTTAGAGACAACCTACTTTCAGTCTATTGAAAATAGGTATTGAGTAGATAGTCTGTTGAAAACTGATACTCCTTTCCTAATAAACCTTACTCACACTGTCATTATATTAATGGATGAAACAAAAAGAAAATGGGAGAAGAGAAGGAGAGGGTGCTCTATTTGAATCATCCTGATTTGAGGAGGGAGCAGGGAACGATTTGGTTACCATCAGTTCTTGTGATGGTTCCCCTTATTAAAAAGCCTTTCTTTCTGTGAGGCAAACTGAGGGAAAAGGACAAGTAGTGCTATGGTAAATGAAGATTGTCTAAACCTTTCCCAGTTCTCTGTAGCCAGGAAGAGGAGAGCAACTTTTGTTTATGGGAAGGAAATGAAGTGGGTTTGGGTCTACCTACCATTTGTTGACTATCATTTTTGTAAAAACAACACATGTAGATGATAAAGAATTCCCCGTTTTATGTCTTTAAATACTCCCAATGAAACTCATTCCCCAGTTCCACAGAGTTGTTTTGAAAACCTCTGTTGTATGCCAGGGCTATTAGGATCCAGTCTCTCAAACGCAAGGTAAAACCTCTCTGACCTACAGGCAAGCAGCCTGTAGGGGACGCTTCGCAAGAGTGGAAGTCTCTTGGTCTGTGGAGGTGACCCTGCATGCATGGGTCCCAGTACTTGATGGGCTGGAGTGTCCTCCTGACCCTCATCTGACCCTGAATCAAAATCTCCAGACTGAACTTTACTTCTAAGGTGGGGTTGATGGCTCCGTGCTTCCATCACTGTATGACTGCTTTACAGGGTGAGTCCCACATCCCGGCTGGGCTACCGAGGAGGAAAATCTTTTAACTTCTTACTTCTCCCACTGTATCATGGAGGAAAATCTTTTAACTTCTTACTTCTCCCACTGTATCATAAGTCCTCTACCACTCCACCATAATTCTCTACTGTAATTCTCTACCACACTGTACTGTATAATTTTACCTTATAATTTTTCTACTATATTCTACTGTAGAGATTATTTTCTATCATATAATTTTTCTACCGGATAATTCTACCTTATAATTCTCCTACCATATAATGCTTAATTCTTCTACCATACAGTTCTTAATTGTTCTACCTTATGATTCTTAATTCATCTACCTTACAATTCTTTTTTCTACCTTAGAATTCTTAACGTAGCTTTTTAAAGTCTATATACAGAATTTCCCATGTTTTTACACCTGACTGTATTCAATTCACTCTCCCGCTCACTTTGCTTATTTTTCTGTCCCTTGTTTATTTCTCTATTATGGGCGTTTCCTGGAGAGAGTCTTCTCGTCTCAGGCTTTGATTTCCCCCGTAGTTAAGTCCCTGTTCAGGTGCCACCTGGAGCGAGCTTTTTCTCTTGCTCCCTTGTTGGAGCAAGCTTTCTCTTTCTGCTGGTTATTACCGAACCTAACTGGGCAGTGATTGGAGATTCAGAAAAGACACAAGCTAGACAGAAAGTGGGATCAGGTGTGTTGGGTGATAGGGTGGAGACGCACAACCCTCATTGCTTCTTTATTAATCTCATCATTTACTCTGCTTCTTTTCTCTTATCTATATTCTTTAAGGCCTTACTCCTTTACAGTTCTTTAAAACCTTGCTTCTAAAGTTCTTTCTTTAAAACCTTGCTTTTAAAGTCATCTTTTCTGTTCTTTAAAGTCTCTTTCTTTAGACTCACTTTGTTCCATGTTTTCTCTTAGTTGTTCTGTAGCATAATCTCTCTTAAAGTCTTTGCTCCCAGGCTTCCACTGTCCCATGTTCTCTTTAGCTTTCTTAAAGTCTCAGTTGGCCCTCAGGCTTGCTAGCAGTTCCCCTTTAGCAATTCTCCTTCAGCAATTCTTTTCCCTTCCAGAAGCCTCTCACACCAAAAAGCCAAAAGCCTCAAGCAAAAGCTCAAAGCAAAAACTCCCAAAGCAAAAGCCTCAAATCCTCCTTCAGTGAGTCTTTTATATCCATTGGTAAACAGGGTGGAGCAGTGGTTCTCGGGGAGGGGCATGACATTGTAACAGGAGAAATCTGTGTTCCTGCTTCTCTGAATGTAAACAACTTAGGAGAAGCAGCTGTTCTTCATTTTCCTCTTCTGTGGCTGGGGCTGTGCCAATCTTGGCCTACAGATAAACATCTTAGGAAATGCAGCTAAGCTCCATCTTGCCTTGCTTATGTCCAGTTCTCATAGGCTTCTCATTCAAGTCATTCTGGGAGATTTTTTTTTTAATTTGTTTTTTGAGGTGCCGGGGATTGAACCCAGGGCCTTGTACATGTTAGGCTTGAAATAGGATCGCCTACTAGCTTTGCCATACTGGCCTTGAACTTGTGATCCTACTGCCTCCACCTCTCAAGTAGTGATTATAAAGACATGCACCACCATGCCCAGCTCATTCTGAGTGACTGAAATGAGTTTTTAATGCTGAGGATAACTTGACCTTGTAGCCAAAGTAATTTTCAGCTCAGACATTGTAGATCCTCAATGACCATTTTCTCTAAATCCTAGACTTCAAGCCTCCTAAAGGTGTCCTGTCCATTCTTGTAAATGAGACTGAGGTCTAGATATTTCCTGCACTTAGTGAGCCTTCCCTCGTCTGATTTCTGAGCCCCTTACAGTCCTCTCTCTCTCACTGCAGTTCAGCCCCTATGGCTAGAGGACTGATTTTTAAAGCATGGCTTATTAATGACCTTTCTTGATTCATCAATTTTTTTATTGGCTCCAGCCACTCAGCCAGCATCTCTTCATCTAATTCCTCTGGGCTTAGTCCAGTTGGGTTTTTTCCCCTGGTCTTTTGGCTGTGGCATTCATCAGTTTAACCAATCTTGCTGTCATTCCTGGTTTTCCACCAGAGGAACTTTTCAGAGCTCTTCAGTAACCCACTAGCTGTCAGTTTCAGCTTCTGTTGGTATTACACAACTCTTCTGGAGTTTATTCTGTGGCTGGAGCCCGGTTTCTGCTTCCTTCCCATAAAGGGAGGAAAGGCAGCAAGGTACCCATAAAAATAGCTTTCTAAACATTCCTTTCTGAAGCTATTTTCTGTTTCACCTACTTGCCCTTCAAGAGGTCTTCTGGGGTGGTTGGGGACAATAAGGGAGGAGCTGGTTTCAGTAATTGTTGAAAGAGAATGTACTGGGGCATTTGTCACCCACAAGGTCCGATAGAAATAACATGGGCCTGGGAGTCTGCAGTGCCTCTTGTCTGCTTTTCTGAGCCTCAGTAATTGGGGGCACCAGGTCTTGTGGAAGGTAAAAGAAGATGTATAGAGCAGAACGTAAGCTCCATAAAACTAATCTTCTCTGACCCAACTCGCTTTATCACTTGTGCCTACAGCAGGACCTGGCTTTGTAGACAGTGAATAACCCATGAGGAAATGAATAATTAAATACTGTACAGATTAGACCCTCTGTCTCCCCTTTCCTGCATTGTAGTTCTGACCTTACATGTTCAAGTCCATATTCCCTCATAGGTAACATCCCTCTGTATTTAAAGTAAAGGACTCAGTAGAGATTTGAACTCCTAGACATTCACTTCAGCTTTTTTTTATTAGCATATAATAGTTGTACAGAGGGACACACTGTGATATTTACATATGTGCTTATAACATATTTTATTTAGATTTACCCTCTCCATCAGTTCCTCCCCTCTTAGAACAATTTCAACAGGTTTCATTTTTCTATCTTCATATATGGATACAAATACATCCACCATATTCACACTCATTATCCCTTTGCTATGCCCACTCCCCCCGTCCTTTCCTTCTTTTTTTTTTTAAGTGTATATTGATGGTCCAAGGGTGTTTCACCTTCGACTTCAGGCCTTGACTTCAACTTTATTTTTTTATATTTTACTTTTTTGGTGGCACTTGTGTTTGAACTCAAGGCTTCATGCTTGTTGGCAGGCACTCTTACCACTTGAGCCACTCTACCAGCCCTTTTTCATGATGGGTTTTTTTGCTTGGGGCTGGCTTTGAACTGCAATCCTGATCTCTGCCTCCAGCCCAGCCTCACTTCAACTTTAAATCATTACTTTAGGAACTTGCTCTTGAAGCATGTGAAATTTAAAACTGTATTTTTCATATTTTGATAACTCATATAAAATGTATTTTATATATAATGCTGTTTTAATAAATAGTGAGACCTAGTGAACATTAAAAGACTCCAGTCTTTTATAGAGCTGTAATGCTTATATATAGAACAAGTTTTAAACAGAAATTGACACAGGTGGACTTTGGCAGATTCTCATTAGTAATTAGCTATCCTCAACTTGATTCTCACTGGTAGGTTCCCATATGGAACACATGATCCTTGGTTCTCTTACTTGAATCAGTTTTTTAGGGCTTCCCACTTGACTCCAGAGGCCCAGGCTCTTGCTGGTTGTCAATGAACAACTTTTGTCTCTTCAGTCAACATGACGAGTTTGCTGTGTCAGCCGTCATTTGCTTTTCCAGTGCCAGTGGCTTGCTCTTCATGTCCTTCAGCAGCCCGCCTTCTCTCCTTCTTCCTGGTAGCCAGAGAAGAAAGAGGAAGCTTGTACTTTCAGTGTTTCTACTTTTGGAACAATCTCTTTGGCTAGACTGCCTGTAATCCAGGGAGTGGTAACACTTCATGGGTAACACTGTTGCAATTCAGAATTTCTCCTACCTCTGAGAAGACCCTCCTCTGCCTTTATCTTCAGTGATTTTCTTCACTGGCTAGAGCCAGGCAACCCATTGTTTTATATCCATGATCCGCCTGTTAGAAGCTCAGGATGGCAGCTGAGGGAGAGGTTTCTTATGAAGATTTTTTTTTTTTTTTCCAGTATGGGGTTTGAACTCAGGTCTTCATGCTTGTGAGGCAGGTAGGTGCTGTACTGCCGCTTGAGTCACTCCACCAGCCCTGGGAGAGTGTTTTCCTGATAGGAAAGTGTGAGCACAGAGACAAAGTGGTCTCACCACACAGGAGAGCAGAGGAGCTTTGAGTCTGAAGCGTTTGAAGAAAGTTCAAGAGAAGTTGCGATATGGCCACTGGAGCTTCCCTTGGCAGAGGAGCAGATCTTCCTAGTCCAGAGAAGTGATACCAGGATAATATGATTTTTTAATTTCCTGAGTCCTGACATACTTGGCAGAGTTGGCTAATAAGATTGTTCTTATTTCCATAGTTTACGTAATAGGGAAAAATCTACTGATGCAAACACGGTGGTTCCACATTCTTGGAATGATGATGTTCATTTGGTCATCCGCCCATCAGTACAAGTGCCACGCCATTCTCGGCAACCTCAGGAGAAACAAAGCAGGTGAGACCTCTTGTGCAACCGTTGCAGGTGGACTTTAACCCTTAGTGGTTAGTTTTCTGTGCTCCTTCTCTTACCTCCTGCCCTCATGTATATCTAGTACTTACTTTAGATAAGACACCTCTCTGGGTTTTGATCTTCCATCTGTAAAACCTTACTCAGATGATCCCTCTTCACCATCTAGGCCTGACAGTCTGTGACTCTGTGCTTTCCCCACATTTGGGGACAGCACTGCACAGATGAATCTGCTCAGCATGTGACAGCTCATGTTACTTCAGAGTTAGTGTGTCATCTCAGCCAAAGCAACAAAATCAGACTTTCTCATTAGTTTGTACTTAGCACAGGTACAGTTTCTATTCAGTTATGTGAAATATTAAAGCTGTATCGTATTCTTTAGCATTTATTGAGTTGTTATTTTATGCCAGGCCCACTTCTAAATGCTCTATATATAGCTTCATAATATGCACATAAGATGAATATAGTCTAATTCTCATTTTACCTATCAGGAAACAGAGGCACAATGAGATTAAACACTTTCACAACTGATTTCTGGAGTCTGAGCTCTTAATGACTAGTGTGGAGGATTGCTGGAGAACCCAGCTTCTTTTCTGCAGTATAATCTGAGCCTGTGACTCCCCCACCCCCATGGTACTGTGGTTTGAACTCAGGGCCTCAGCCTTGCCAGGCAGGTGCTCTACCCCTTGAGCCACTCTACCAGCCCTTTAGCATGTGACTTTTCGGTACATAATTTGATGGTGGTGTGTGATACTCTTTTCTCACCAAGAGTTTCTGTCAGTGACTGAGAGTGAAGAGGTAGAACTTCCTTTCTAAAACTTAAACGCTCACGAAGCCATCTTTGCCATTTCAGGAGTGACCATTCACTGCAACCACAGGATCCCTTTTGGAGACTGGTTTGAATATGTTTCTTCTCCTAACTACCTGGCAGAGCTTATGATCTACATTTCCATGGCTGTCACCTTTGGCTTCCACAACTTCACTTGGTGGCTAGTGGTGACATATGTCTTCTTTAACCAGGCCCTGGCTGCTTTCCTCAGCCACAAATTCTACAAAAGCAAATTTGTCTCCTACCCAAAGCATAGGAAAGCTTTCCTGCCATTTTTGTTTTAAGACAACCTCAGTCATGAAGAATGCAAGCCAGGTGACAGGTTCAGTTCCTAGAGACATGAAGTCGGGGACCAAAGTTCCCTTTCTGCATGGCTGTTTGAAATTTTACACTGAAATGTCTTCATGGAGTGAGCAAAGCAGTGCCTTGAGAACATGAGTTCTTCAGAGTGGCTTCACAGAAGAGCTGCTTCTGGCAGCCCTGGCATTGCCATGTCTGCCTTCTGCCATGCTTTATAAAGTCAGTCAACTGATAAGAAGTAGATGAGACTTCTCCAAGCTGCTTCACAAGCACCTGAGTAAGAGTGCGGACAGCTTCACACACTCACCTGAACACACCAAGGAAGACAAGATCACCTGTGGCTGGGGTCACTTGTTAGGCACCAGTTAGCTGGACTGCATGATAAGGGGTGAAGTAGGTACTCAATAAAATATTGGTGCATGTCAATACAATGTATGATTCACACCAGTGGCTTTGGGAGAGCTGAGTTCATTGGAGTTAGTTTATACGTTCATATGCTACCACACAGCCCTCAGTTAGGGTAACACAGTAACCATCTCCACTTATCTCCCTTTCAAGTCAGCCTGACAGGAAGTTATGAAACCTTTTTTATGTAATTCTCTTTTGACATTCTCACTGAAAGCATTGGAAAAACAAAATATTTTTTATATTATATTTATGAATAAAAAGCTTTCTTTAACTGACATGCTCAGAATTGGGAAATCCTGAAGTCTCATTTATATCTGCCTATACTTCAACTAATAGAACAAATCTAAAGACATCTAAGAATAAAGTTTGCACTTAAAATCGTTACGTTAAAATGTCCAGTGACATCAAAGGGATGTCTGAAAGATAAACTAAAACTTGAAATTAATGCTATACCCTGAGCAACAGTAAAAACTCCACATTCACACAGCATCAGATTTCGTGGGACTAGGGATATAGCTTTGTTGGGAGAGCATATACACAGCATGCAGTAGTCTCTGGGTTCAATCCATGCATCTAAGGGAAAAAAAGATTTTCTGACTTACTAATCTCTGCTAGAACTGTTAACTTACTCCTTTAACGCAGATGTCAGATTATATTCCACTAAGTAGAAAGTGTGCACTTGTCTTTCCCTTGCAAAACCTTCATTATTAACTAGACACATGTCAAATGCAATCTGGGTATACGTTCCCCACTTCCGTCTCTAGAGTCATAAACAGGCTATTAGACTGGGATTCCTTTTAATCTTAACTTTGTTTTAGTTTGGGGTTTTTTTGGTGTGTTTTTTTTTCTGGTAGTACTGAGATAACTTTGTTTTTTTAGTTTTTTTTTAAATTTCATTTTACCATGCTGGGGATGGACATTGAACCCAGAGCCCCACAAATATTAGGCAAGTGCTCTGCCACTGAGCTACACCCCCTAACCCTTTAATCTATCTTGAAAGCCATACGTACTAAAATCTGTTTGGAAGTTCTTACATTAATTCTGATGTAGCATGTTCTCTCCCATCAATCAAATACCACTTAGTTAAGATTAATCTGTTGGTGCTTGCTTCAGCAGCATATATACTAAAAACTGGAATGATACACAGAACACTAGCATGGCACCTGCATAAGGATGATGTGCAAATTTGTGAAGTGTTCCATATTAAAAAGAAATCTGTTGCTCAATCCAAATAAATGATATATTCATTCCATTATCATTTAGAATTTGCTATCCTCAGGACCAAGATTGAGGAGCAAAACTATTTCTGCATTGGAAATATAAAGCATATTGTAGCTTGGTCTTTGTGGTACTGGGATCAAACCCAGGCCTGGAGCATACTAGGCAAACACTTAACCTCTGAGCTGTATGCCCAGCCCCTGTAGTTTGGTCTTAATTCCCACACAGATGGCAGGCATAATTTTTGTTTAGTTGTTTATTTAGAGAAAGGTAGTCCAGGCTATCTTGCCTCAGCTTCCCCAGTGCTGGGATTACAGTTGTGTACCACCATGCCCAGCTTTCATACATATTTTAAGTTATTTAGGGGATAATTGTGTTTTTCTTTTAGGACACAATTTTTAACCTAGGTTTGGCTTAGGACTGGGCTGATGTTCTGGATCTTGTACTTGGAAGTAAATTAATGAGCATCTCCCGTGAAGGACCCCGTCAGGGCTCTGAGAAAGCTTTTCAGTTTCCCATTCTCACTGCCTGCTGTCCTCACTATCCCTTGCACACTGTTCGCTTTCTCTTCTGTTTCCTTCTCTGTCCAAACACTGCATTTCTACTTGAAGATAAAAGAAGTAATGAAGTCATCAGAGGGTTCAGAACAAGTTGCATGGCCTTGACTGAGGGCTTAGTGGATGGTGCAAGGGCAGAATCAGCATTGTATTTTATGCTGTTGGAAAGACTACAGGTGCCTAAAGGGAGAGCACCGTGCAGATTGGCAATAGCTTGGAGGTGGAGATTTCTTGATTTTCCTGGAGGTATACTGGGATAGCCTTAATCTTTCATTTCTGGCCACCAGGAAGTCAGGGGAATGACACTGAGCTACTCCGAACAGCATTCCCTGGATTAACTTCTGACCATAGTTGGCTGAAAGTAGGCTTTGATTTTGGTAAGTCTCCTATATACTAACCTGTGCTTACAGTTACCATGGATTATTTTGTCTTCATCAGGCTTTGTTCTGCATTATATTTTTAATTCAGTAAGTGCTTATTGCCAGAACCCTACTGCTATGGTTAGAATAAAAAATTATCCTCTAGAGGCTAAAGGTTTGGTGACCAGCTGATGGCCTTCTGAGACCCGTGTGGATTATGAGGCCTCCAATTTAATGGGTTAATTTCATCCATTGAGAAATTGATAGTAGAATGGACTATTAGGAGGTGGGCCTGGTTGGAGAAAATAGGTCACTAGGGTGTGCTCGGTTGGGTGTATCTTGTCCCTGGACCCTTCCTTTTCTCTTTCTGCTTCCTTACTCCTGTGAGGTAAGCAGCTTTCCTCTTCTGTGCCCTTATGCCATGATATTTCTGCCTTGCCACAGGCCTAAAAGCAATGGAGCCAGCCAACCGTGAGCCAAAATAAATCCTTTCTTTAAATTGTTTTCCTTGGTTATTTTGTCACAGTGACAAAAGTGACTCACAGCTACCTAAAAAAGCCTTTGCAGGTATTTTGTATCCTGTTTAATGGATGCTTAGTTTAAGGAGATTATAAATAAAGGTACAGAAGCCTTGATTGGTAATGTATCCCAAAATAAACTGATACATTAAAGAAGACTTTAAGTAGTACCTAAAAATAAAAAAGCAAATACAGCTACTTGATTCCTATAACCTACCTAAACAGTTTCTACTATCTTTTTTAATAAGAAAAAATTGCTCAGCTACATTTATGAATATATTAATCTAACCTAAGATTGTCTGATAAATAGAGAAGAAACAGTGGAGTAATCCACTGGGATGATCCATAAATAATGCATATGACACGTCATCATTTTTCTCAAATAGCAGGGCTTTCCTAGAAAACCATGTATTAGTTTGGAGAGAAGCAAAGTTTAATGATCCAAATGAAAACTACATTATAAGGAGTTACTCTATGCACATACTTGAGAAAATACAGTGTTGGGTCTCTTCAAAAAGACTTTGGAAACTTAAAACTGTTGGCAGACACCCATCCACAAGGGATTTCTCAACAGAAGGACAAATCTCCCTCAAGTCCAGCCTTTGGGTAAAATCTCGTCTTTATCAGGGCTCTGTGGCCCCCACAATGCCTTTTTGTGGATTAAGAAAGGATCTCTCTAGAATATCCCTGTGATCGCAGGGCATGCACCTTTGTGAGCATAAAATGCAGTTGGGGATGGGGCTGCAGCTTAAGGAGCAGAGCTGAGGCTAGGTCTCGGCCCCAGTTGCCGTCTCAGTCTGGTGGTCCTTTGTGCAGTATACAAACTATGCAGCCTTCCATAAAGACTGCTCATCATGGTGCCTGCCTGCAGATTCTACTCACTAGGAAGCAGAGGATTTGATTTTGATGAACCATCTTATTGAGGGAAACCATAAAAATCAACTAGAAGGAAGCCCTCTACACAAAACCCCTGTCCCACACACAGAAAGGAATGGTGGTTAGTATGTAAGTTACCCCAAAACAACAGAATTCTGAGATTGCTGGCCCAAGAAAAATAATGTCTTCCTTTCAGACTACTGAGTCCTGCCTTCCCAGCTCATTGTTCTAGTTCTGCAACTCCAACAACTCTTCTGCCCCTAGGACCTCTAATTATGGATGTTATATTTTCATTGTCCTTTGCCACTCAGGTAAGTCTTCTCTTCCCACTTTCCCTGGCTTAATTCCAAGTAAATCATAATTGGTTCTTGGTATATATCCTCTACTCCCTTGCTTTTGTCTACTTATTTAGCAAATCTGCAGCTTTGATTGAATTCACTTCTTCCCTCTTTGTATGTGCACCTGTGCAGCTTACTTGCCTGGAAAGAAAAGTGGAATGTGTTAACAGCTTTAAGTTTTGGCCACTAATCTCAGTAGCCTTTACAGTTGAATTCATCCCTCATCTGTTCACTGTACCACTCTCCTGATGATTTTACATCTCTGCCCTCAGCAAAGAGAAGTTACTAGAGGTGACATCCACAGGTTACCACTGCCACCACCCCCTCCACCCACGTGCATCCCTGTGTCTGTGTGCGCTACCTGTCTTCTTGTTCCTATTGCAGAAGGGTATTTTTTATCTAAAAGAATGCAAAGTCATGATCCTCATATAAATATGTTCATTAATAAAGAAATGAGTAAGATAATAGAACCAGTTTAAAGAAGACTCCTAAAAATAGATGCATACACGGCAGTCAAGCTTGCCAAAATGGCATGTCAAGATGCAAAACTAGCTTTTATAACAGGCAAAGGAAATCTGTCTGCCTCCACTGGATAAAATTCATTTGGATGTCTATGGCAGAATTATTTGCATTTCTGCCAGTTTTCCACAACATCCAAAGACAATGAGAGATGAAAGTAACTTGTTTTATACAAGGAATGCAATGGTCATGGGAAATTGAGATAAATAATATTAAATTATGTTAAATCTGTTTGGTGAAGAGGAATGTAATTAGTCTTTAACTTGGAGTGAAATATTTGTTCCTCCCATAAATTTAAAAGAAAATAATCAGCACTTTGAGATTTCTTTCTTCCTGACCTGTAGACTGTTAGCCTGTGGTCTGTTATTAACTATGACCATGACTTTTTGATGTGTATATTGTGTAAAATCTTTGAGGTTTAAAAAAAATGCTAAAGGAACCATGTAACTTACTAAATTGCAAAGCACTTAACTTTTTCCTCTCCAATATTCAATACTTAAATCTGTCCTTGTGAAATGAAAGTGATTTAGGTGCAAAATATGTACTATAGTAAAGAATTGACTAGATTCTCAGAATTATCAGTATTCCATCTTTCCCATCTATTTCATGGGTCAAATTGTACTTGCAATTCATCTTTTTTCTTTTCCAAATGAAATTGCATGGTTTCCTTTCATGATTTTGCTTTTAAGACATGAAAGCAAACTTTAAATTTCAGGATAATCGTGCAACTAGGGATTGACATAATTGGGATGAAAGTGCAAAGAGATAGGAATGGATTCTTCCATCCCATGCTCCAAAATCTACAATTTTGAGAGTGGAATCAGAGGACATTTTCTGTTAGATGCCTTCCATAAAATCAAGCTCAAAACCTTACAAATGGAGGAAACAT